GAAGCTGAATCTTTAGTTTTTAGAATTTTGTCTCTCTGTCTGACTAAGAAAAGCGCTGGACAGATTTTCATGAAATTTAGTATGACGACAGCAGATTATCCAGGTCAACATTATAAATGCTTGTTGTAATTCTTCTTGTTGCTTTATACTTCGGTAAAATATTCATCTTTGAGAAATCTATATTAAACGTTAAAACTTAAGTAAGTAGCTAAATATAAAATTACAGAAAATAATTTCGAGCAAGGATTGCATTTGAAAAGGTATTTATTATATGAATATAATTTATAAAAGCGTTTAAAACTTCACCTCTTTTCACATAATTAAAAATGAAAGTTTCCTATTCACAAATGTACAATTAAGTAAAAATTCTCGCTAACTTTTATTCTAAAGTAAGAGAATTTGTATGACTTAGGGGAAAATCTGAGACATTTTGTTAATTATTCAGCCGACGGTCCTCGGTTAGAGAGTCGTTCACTCGAATCCTGTCATTATTTAAGCTTCAACATTAATAGGCCGCCTTAGAAACTTTTTTACGCTTGTCATTTATTATTCGTCTTTATTCCAGTTTCAGTGACAAATATACTAAACAAGGGATAAAAAAATTTGCTAGAATTTTATAAGATTTAGATAATAATAAATGATTTGATGGTTATTTAAGTTGGCTTTCTACTGATTTTGTTATATTAGAAGTAACAGGTTCGATTACTGATGTATGAAGAAGATATGTATTTCTTAAAATAAATATAGTTTTCTAACTTGTTTCTGTTTAGCTCTACGAATAGGTGCCGAAGAATCCCCAAATTAATATGTAATTTGAAGACGAAGTAGTGAGCCTGGAAGACATTTTCACTTTCATATATTTAAAGTATAAGTATGTATTCAGCCCTTTCTAATATCCCACCGTTGTGCACGGGCCTCTCTTCAATACGAGGGGGATCAGGTCTTAGTCCACTACGCTGGCCAAGTGCGGGTTGGCGGACTTCACATGTCTTTTGAAAACTTGCTAGGTTCTCTCAGACATGCAGGTTTCCTCACGATGTTTTCCTTCACCGTAAAGCAAGTGGTAATCATGTTGGAAATGATTCGCACATGAAAATATCAGAAATTCGAGACTCGGGATTTGAGCCCGCTTCACTCGGTTTCCCAAGCGAGCGCGTTACCACTGGGCTACAACTGCCTCAAAGTATAAGTATATTTATGTAAATGACCATCCGGTTCAGTAGCTTGTAAAAATCAGACACTATATAGTATATACTACTATAGTATTTAAAATTAGAGAAAGCTATGTATTAGCGGTCATAAAACCGTCATCTGTATCTACGGTTGCGAGTTCGATCTTCATATCACATCTTATTATTGCAAAAATTGTGGGATTTTTGAAACCACTACTTGTAGCTGATTTTAAAATATCATTTTGTCTAAGCCCCTGTTCTAACTACGCATATATTTTTTGAGCTCTAAGTGTTGTGCTTGAGATTTCAGACTTTCTCTCAGATCCTAGCAGTCTCATAGTATCTCTGGTACATAAATATGCACCATGCCAGAATTGTTTTAACTATTTTCTTATTTTTTTTGACTACAATTACTATTATAAGACTTTGATTTTTAAAATATACAATTGATCTAAGCATATAGTATTTATTATATATTATGATTAAATAATAATAATGATTATTATTATGATTACTCTAGCTTAAGTCTCTCTTTAGACTATTGTCACCAATATAAATAATATTGTTGGGACATACACACAGCACCATCTAGTTTCATGGTAAGCTACGAGGCTTTTGTTAAGGATACCAGATAGTTGAAACACTACACATATATAACTTTAAATACATACATATTATAAATATAAACATCCATGACTGGAATACAAACATCCGTGCTCATTGCACAAATGAATGCCCCCAGCGGGACTCGAACCCGCGACCGCTGGCACAGCAAGTAGGGTCACTACAAATTGATCCCAACGTATCCTCGTTAAAAAAAGAAATTATTATCAATTTTTTTTGAATTTATAACTTAATTCATTTTATATATGCGTTTGTAAATAAGGGACAAATGAAGAAAACAGTACAATGAAGTGTCTAATTTTATTTAATTTTCTGATATCCATTTATGTGTTTGCTGCACTGACTATAACATTTATATTTTATTAACATGTGATTCGTACATCGAGATAATACATCGAGACTACAAAACATTGAGATCATTAACATTTTATATTTTCAAAGAAATAAAAAATAAATATTATTATATAATATTGTATAGAATATTGTACATACAAAGGTGAAGTATAGTAAAAATCTTTAACAATTTATACTAAAAATAACAATAAATACTGATTCAATATAAAATATAGTTATTGAAGACAAATAATGAGTAAATAGTTTAGTTTTGCAATAAATACACAGTAGTCAGAAGGTAAATATAATTAAAATTGGTTTTCTCTTACACTAACACGTAGTATCTATTTGTAGCTTTTGATAAATATATAGATACACGTGTGTTATATCTATGAAGTAGCGATTAAATCAATTCTATTGATCGATCAAAAAAGTACTAGATACACAATCCCATGCAAAAGTTCTCATAAAACTGTCACCAATTGTGTTCAGGTAATTATTCTAGTTGAAATAAATATACAACAATGTAAATTGAATCTTTTATGCAATGTTTGAAGTTGTTTTTACAAAAAGCGCGCTCAAATGTACAAATGAGCGCTCATTCGGTGAGGTCATTTGTTGTCGCTGATTGTGTATCTAATACTTTTTTGGTCGATGATTCTATAACATATTTTTTATTGAACATCGATTAAAAACTATTATTTAAGGAGAGCTCAAATCAATCTGTTATCATCAACCAAATTTTATCTTTTCATCTAAAAATTACTTCATATTCAATAACTTTTTATTGAATTCTTTGCTTTACAATTATCTTTTTCAAACGCAATCCGTAAGTTTCAATAAGCTTCTCGTTTCATTTAGCTCTCCAGTTTATTTATATTTGTTATCTCTCAAAGCCTTTTAGCAGATTTGAGCTTACCTCTAATACGACTTAGGTCCTCAAAACATCAAAATCTATTTTTCTATAATATTTTGAATAACTTCTTTAACATCGGCTACTGAATATGAATGATTATATAACATTTAAATTGATATTTAATATGGATACCAAAAACTACACATTGATGATTGATTATTATATATTTTTACTATTCAAAGGATCCATAGCAGAAATAAGTGGGTGAACTATACGAAAGCTCAGGAACAGTTGACATTTATACATATGTATAGCATCTTAAATATTTCATTTAGTCCAAAGATATGGAAAGTGTATAATTTTATCAAATTTTAGCACATTCTTAAATGTGCTTAATACGGTACATTTAATATATTAATCTACATTCTAACACTGAGAAAATCTTCTGTTAGGACTAAATATTATTTGTGACATGTTGATAATATTCATTTAAATAATGATTTGATATAAAGTAGGTAGCACTTTTTTTAAAAACCATGAATTAACATAGGATTAAATTCGGAAATACTAATTATGAAGTCAAATTTTGGATTTCCGGTTCCAGGATGCAACCATTTTAAATCGTCAGAAAAAGGGCATCATTATATATGTCGGATTCATGATTTTAACACAGAATTTCTATATTAATTTCTTTCATGAAACTTATAGTAGGAGATCCCGATCTATGTGGTGGACCCCTCACTCTTTTCCCAAGCGAAATATATTTTTGAAGTTACATTTCTTTTGGCACGTTTGGAAGAAAATTATAAGAGTAAAATTTTTAGGATGCGCGTACACCGACAGCCAAAACGCAACATGACGAAGTTAGCTGCATTCCTTTTACAAACAGAGAGTTGTGACATACGGGATGGTATCTTTAGCTTTTTTGTTCCTTTACCCCAAAGAAGTAAACTTTTTAAGTGCGTGCATAAATACACACACACATGTTTTTTTTTATTTGATCCATAAAAAATATTAACAAACACGAACCAGTGATATTGTCGCCAAAAATTTGCTCAAGACTATTTTTTATTAAATTTAATTTATTAATTAATCCTTTTTAAAAGTACAAAAACTCTTTTCCTGTGACAACTTAGTATCAATCGAAAGTAAAAGACTGTAAACAATGCCATCGTACGGTTGGCGGCCTTTTTCGAAATCACATTATCTGACATCCAGGTATAAACAGGTAAATTGAAGTAGTTAATTGCTCGTATCGAATCGCATTATCCGTAAAGAACGAAGTTTTAATATGTAGATAATGTTATTACGATTTTTTTTATTAAAAATAGCCTGGCTCGAATTTTCGGTGACAACCCTCCTGGGTCGTGTTTTATGCTTTAAAAAATATATTTCGCCTGGAAAAAGAGTGAGGGGACCACCACATTGATCGAGATCTTAGACTATTACAAATCTGATCCGCTGCCAAGAAATAAAAATTGAAAGCAAAACAACGACTGAGTAACATTAGAGATTTCATTTGTTTAACACAATCTCAATAACAACGTATATTGCAATTGCATTGCATTGTACCTCTATTAAAAATGAAAAATAAATATATTTTTAAAAATACGATAACGAAACATACAGGTGTTGATAATAAAAAATGTTATAAACTCCATAAAAATAAGTATCGCTTTGGTTTCAATAATACTCCATAATAAAATATAATCTGGCCTATAAACAACTAAATATAATTTTACGTGGATATGACGAAATGATATGTAATGAATACAGACATATACGAAAAAGAAAATCTTGGACTAGATTAAATTTGATATGTAAATTAGGTTAAAATCTATCTTACAAACGACCTTTAGGTGGATTTAATTTGGCACTTCATAGTCTCAAGTCTTACTAACATTAAAATAACAGAACGATGAATAGGAAACCAGTTAACGTAAAAACTTAAATTAGGTTTAACTAATATGACTTAGGTAACTGGACTCAAATAGGCTTATAAAATAAATTGTTTACTTAGTGGTATGCCTTGTCCATTGAGCTCGCAAGGCTGTCATCATTTCGCTCCGATTTGGTACTTTCTCGCTGGTTGAGCGCGTGATCGGGGCGGCTGGCGCTAGAGATTCAGGTCCTGGTACTTTAAGAGTCATCCCCGAATTACTCTTCACCTCCACCTCCACTTTAGATGGCTCTCCCACATCAGAATTACTTTCAGAGGGGCTTATTGGCACAATCAGCCTCACACGCCCATCATTTCCAGTAGCGGTTAATGTTCCATTATGTGATAATGGCATTATAAATGGTATACCATCGTCAGAGCTTAATCCATCGGGAGAAGAATCCTTAGATGTAGTGGCTTGGCTGGTGCTGTATAAAGAGTTCTGCGATTGTCCAATGCTCATAGCCTGAGCGAGAGCTCCATATTCTTCACTAGAGCTGAATTTATCATTGTAAATCTGATGATTTAAGAGAGACGCCAAATCGGAGTTGCTAAAATGATTAGTAAGCGGTGGAATATGTGGGAAGGCATTACAGTTTTGATAAAACTGCTTATTGTTATTAACTTTAGTCTCGCCGTTTGTGAAGGTCATATCTTGAAATTTAGATATCAAGTAGTTCTGAATCTGTTCATTACTCATACTTCCAAAGTTTGGCGCGGAGCTTGGTCCATTTGGCTTGTCCTGAGGCGATAGACAGAAGGGTGATAGATTTATGTTGTTGTTTTCAACGTTCTGTGTTATTTTGTTATTTTGAGCGATGAAGTTAATAAGAGCATCGCTATTGAACGGTTGACAATTTCCGTTACAGACGGGGAAGTTCTCAGATTTCCCAGATTCACTCCCTCCAGCTTTTGTCTGCATACAATTTTATATTTTATTTGTTTCTCTTATTTCAATTTAAAAGTAAATAACAATTAAGGAACTCCTTATAAAGATTATTTTAAAATTTTCATATAAGGGCTGGTATAGATAGTGTACAGTATTTTTTACAGAATTCTTTTAATTTAACTTAAAATACTGATACCTATTTAGACCAGCCGATTTATTAACATCACAAAAATATACATGCTACATCCAAAGCGTAATATTTAATCTGCGAAATAACTAAACAGCGACCGTTTCATATCCTCTTTTTTTAGGAAGCGATTTAAAACATATCAATGGAAAACATTTTGGTAAAATATTAGAAGTACGATATCTGCAACGTTTGCAATATTAATTTTCTTTACCGCTCTTAGAACATATGCGAACGATCGCCGCAACTCTAACGTGAACAAGTTTTGTTGTATCATACAGTATTAAAGAAATTAAAACAACAAAAAATAAGCAAACACATAAACAAACAACAGTAAAAAAGTAAAGGTGCAATGACGCATCTGTATTGAACAGTTATTAAAATTAGAAAAATTTGTTAGTAATATTTGACTCTAATCTAATCAAAATGAATTTTCTATGGTGTCATGCATTTTCGACATTATTGAGCAAAATAAAAAACTTGAGGTGCAACATGCTTACACTTTCATAAACTCATTACGATGTAGGAACCTATTGGTATTAGGAGTTGGAAATAATTAGGATCAAATTACTTTATGTAACACAGCAAGCTTAGTGCCTAACATTGAATTAGTATTATTTAAAATCTTATAGATATAAAGTTATCTACACACTAAACTAAAAGGGTGTTAACATACTTTTTATTTGTATAAAAAATATGCTAATCAATCGGTCTTGCACTTGTATAGATAGTGTGTAGATACCCTTATTTTTTACTAGTAACAAATATATATTTATCACGTACCTGAGGTAAGAGTGTCAGTTGTTGAGCGCTAATTGGCCGGCTGATACCTTTTTCTTTCTCTTGCAAGTGGGCGACAAGAGCGGCGATATGCTCGAGTAGTTCTTTATTATGCACCAGAAGTTGATGAGTACGAGCCTGGAAATATTCATTTTTGTTTATGTGTCAGCAGCTTTACATGCATCTGTATAAATTTTGATAATTATAAACAAGTTTAAAGTTTAAAATCATATTAAAGTATGGATTTTAAACAACACTATTTTTTCGGTTTTTTTCGCGGATTCTTTTTGATTTTTTTATCCCGACGTTTCGAATGCTTTACATGGTCACGGGAGAGACTAAGGTTTTAGTCGTCTCAATGGATCATAGGATGGACAATTTTAAAATTTTATTTATAGAATTAGTATATAAAGTTAATTGAATCAATGTCGGTCTTACTGTTCTTGTAAATAATGTGAGATAATAAGTGTTTATTATATATGTATGAAGTTTAAAAATATAATATACAAGTGTTTGTTATATTTTTAGGTGATATTAGAGTTTCTATTATTATAAATTAGTAAAGTTGTCACGCGATGTAACAGTTGCAGCTTATGTTCGCTGAACATTGCTTGGGTGAACAATTTTGTGTCGTACAGTTAATTTGGTTTCGTAGGCATTTTATTTAATCAGAGCCCCTAGTACGAGTTTACAAATTCCAGAAACGATGATAGTTATGGTGAATTCGATGAACTATATAGTTTGCGATGTAATACGAGTTAAAGTTTACGAATATAGTCCATCGACTAGCTCGATTGAACGAACTTCACTTTATTCGCTTCATCTCTTTTACACACCGGCGAACTAAAAGAGACGAATGTTGTCCTTCGACATTGTTTAAATTAACGATTTGGATGAATTAAGTTTTGAAACTTAGTATATTTTAAACTTTTTATAATTAAAACTGCATTAATTTTACTAAATTAATTATTCAATAATATTATTCAGTGTTGCTATTATTACAATATGTATATTGTGCGGTAATAAAGAAATTTAAAATGTAAATTGTTTAAGCATGTTATAATTTAATTAAGTATTCATTAGATCAAAGATAAAATATAAGTTTTAAGACAATTAAAAGTTAAAAACATAAATTGAATTTTGATTATTTTAAAGTTAAATATTAAGCAACATTACCGCAAACTTTATAATTAAAATATATTAATCTAAATCAAATCTTTAAAAAAAACTAAATCAAAGGCTGGGCACGTTTAACCTTCGCTTTCTTACGAGCTCCAGTCGCTCCTCATCATGGTCATCCTCCACAGCTGACCTCCACGCGAGATACCGTCTCGCTAACATAATTATTGTTCAAAGATATTCGCAAAAAAAATGGTCGCAAGCTCTCACCGAGATTAACTTTATGAGTGCCAAAACGAAAAAAGTTTTATTATATGAACACGCCAAAGTTTACTATCGTTAAATTCTCAAAGTCGGGATTCGTAGTGCCAAATATACGCTCGAAATCTTTCATCGAGTTAGTTAACTATGATTCGATTGAACTCGTACTACCCATTTAGTTCCACCACGTTTTCGCTAGGGGCGCTGCACGTAAATGTATGGAAGAAAACGAAACTACATATCGTATTCGAGAACTATCAAAAACTCGTAGGTACTGGCGGCTCAGAGCTGTAGGAAAAATATTTCTGAGAAAAATTCTACGCAGTCAATTTAACTTTATAACTTGAAAGTGATATTTGCAACCTATATGGCTTGCTCAATTCATTTGAAATTCATAATATTTTATTCAGCATTAAATTATTACAATTATTCACTCAACTTCATGAATCTACTATCAATTTGTAAAAAAGTAGCCTCAGATCTGAGAAGAACTGGCAGAAAGAAGGAAGACTGTGACTGATGTAGTGGTCTAAGCATTCGTTTCTATGTCAGAGGTAGCGGGTTTGAGTCTGGCTTAAAATAACAATTTATCGGGGTTGTATATGGCAAGACTAAAAATAGGCGATAACAATAAATTAAATCAAACGAAAGTTTTATTGTTATATATAATAAAAGAAATTTGTAATTATAAATAATTATTTTTTAGATTTTTAATTATTTTTTATACTTTTATAATATTTTTTTATGATAAGGTTTTACGATAAAAGTGAATTTATTATAATTATTTTTTTTACAGCACCAGGAATGGTTTACGTACAACTGATTATAATACCATTTGAGGCTTAAATAAATATCTTCTACGTGCTCCATCTATCTTATTCTTTTAGTCTGAAAGTTGTCCTACGTCCATGTATTCTATGTTTTATTCAAAGACCCCAGCTGAGGTTAACTTAACGGCTTCCGTTCAATACAAAGTGCGCTCTAAAACCCCATTGTTTTATTTAATATTGTTTCGTGGTTGTCAAGGTAAAAAACCTTTGTATAAAAATAGCACACCTGAACCATACTTAAAAATAAGTATTGCCGATTCATAACAAGAACAGTTAATGGGGAATGGTAATATGTGGAAAAGAGACGAAATAAATAAATAGAAATTATGAAAAAAATCTTAACTTCTATTATTAAAATGTACTTTATTTTATGGAAAAGAAGTAAATACAACAGATTGCCAATTGATTTGCTACGAGTTTGGAGTAAAACTGAAGTGAGGTAAATGGATATTGGAGTTAGTGGAATGTAGTGCTCAGTGACCGAAACGGGATATCACTGAGAGTATACTGCAAGAGTACGTGAACTGCGATAATTAATTTTCATTAGGACACAGGTTTAGAGTATATTTTAGGCTTAGAATATATTATTTTCATATATCTCATTATAAACATTTAACAATTAATATCTATCTCTACATATAATAAAATTGTAACTAAGCCGAATCTGTACATTAAATATTTTTTGGAAAATCTTATTGAAATAAACATTATTATCATACAGAGGCCGAATCTATAGTTTTTAGAATTTTTGTCTGTCTGTCTGCGGTAACCCGCATCACAGAAAAACCACTGGAAGGATTTTGATGAAATTTGGTATAGTGATATAGCTGGCTATCCGGGTCAACATATAGGATACTTTTTACCGCGGGATAATGTCTCATTTCTGAAAAAAAATACGAAAACTGCAATGTAAGAATATACTAATATGTAAAACCTAAGAATTTGGTTTTTGGTCATCTGAACGCGGGCGGAGCCGCGGTCAATGCTAGTTTAACAATAAATTGGAACTTAATACTATTAGGAACATTTATTTAATGTGTTTAAATGACGATCTATGATAACTAACTCGTGTACATATTACTGATAAAATATCTATATTGAATGTAACCAGCTGTTGTTATCAATTAGCCCAGAACCTAAGCTTGGGGTAATTTAGATTCCTTACATTTTGTTCTGCTAAGAAATATATTATTAAATGCCTTATAATAGATACGATATGTAATAGAGGCATAATTTAACAGCTTGTTTTGTGAAAAGAGGTGTTCTAATAAGTAGATAATATAGTTAAGCTTTACAACAGCATTGTTGCTTTAACAGAAGTTAAAGTTAGTTTCAGTAAAGACCTGGTTCGAGAAATATTTTCTTTTTTATATGCGATATTAATTTTATATATATATATATATATTAAAATTAAATAAACTGTTAGCCACAGCCACGTATTAGCATGATGTCACCTATGATTTTCAGTTATATAAAACTATGAAACATTTATCTATGTTACGTTATATCTTTAAATTCTAAATCACTAGGAAAACGTGATAATATGTATACCAATATGTGGGTGTCCAACAGTACTATACCAAAAGTCATGGTCATTGATCACTATCTCTTTCTCTCTTTCTTTCTCCCTCTCTCTCTCTCTCTTGAACAAGAACAAACAAAACTCACTTGAGCCTCACAACGAGCAGATTGTTCCGCAGCAAGCTGATCACGCAACAGCAGTAGTTGCGCCACAGCTGCCCGAGTCTGTTGCGTCTGTTGCTCGAGCCGCTCCCGCAACAGTTGCAGCTGGTGTTGCGCACTAAGTGGCGTAGCGTGCTCCTCAGAGGTACTTGCCACCTCTACTTTGGTCACACATTCCGGAAGATCAGGTAGATTGATACTTGGAACTGCTGTGTGCTGTAATAAAATTATAAAAGTATTGCATTTAGTTTGGTATGTTGCATTAGAACACAATAAAGAATCTATATAAATAAAAATTAATGTTTGTATGTTTGTCCTCTATGCATTTCTTAACGTCCGATTATGATGAAACTTTGGTAGATTTGTTTAAGGACCCACGAGTTTTTGACTAAAAAAGAAATTTAACTTTGTATGTTTGTCCTCTATGCGTCCCTACACCATTCGTCCCTAGAGTCACGCTTGTGTAAATATGCACACAAGCGAGCGAGAGTAAGCCGCTAGTAATTTATATAAATAAACGTTTACAAGCATTTTTGAATTATCTTTTCATATTTATTTATTTTCCGGTGAGCTTGAAGGGAATATTTTTAACTTAAAAATAAATTTCATTATAAACTCAACGCCCTATTTATACGAGTAGGTACATTTTAAGGAGTAAGGATGTGTTTCAAAAATCGTTTCTTAGTGCTCATCTATAGCACTACTTTTGTTGCAATTTAAAAAGCATTTTCATACTGAGCGCTTAAAGTTGAGTGTGGCTTGTGATAAAGTAGATGTTAATATTGTATGACAAAGACTCCTCTGAGTAATATTGTTTGACGACTTACTTAACTGTTTATAACTTATAATAATTAGGCGTATATTTATGGCTTACAAAATATACAAGTTATGATTAAAAAAAATTATACTTCTTATTAAAACTTCCTTTAGTTTCTATGTAAATCTAAAAACTATAGATTCGGACTCTGTATCTATATCTGTATGTATTTCAATAAGATTTTTCAGAAAATATTTAATGTACAGATTCGACTCCGAATTTTATAATATGCATAGATATAAGTATGTATTTGTTAATAAAGATATATATATATATTTGGTTCTCATGTAAAATTGTCAGTACTAAACGATTGAATAAAAATATTGGACCTAATAAGGAAATTACGATACGATACGATAGAATATATTTTCTTCTACATACTTATACAAATGTGAACAACAAATTACACGAAGCACAATTTATGCATATACAATGAAATTGTTAGCATTACGGCTACTTCCCTTATAGAATCGCACAATTTCTTGAATTGTTATAAATTGTTTCCAGTTAAAGCTTTAAAATTTGTATTGTGGAAATCCAATTAAAGATTCTTTTAAACATAAATCATAGATATTTAGAGTTGCCTTCGATATCCATAGCGAAAAACTAATTTACAAAAATGAAAAGACCCGATTGTGTAAATAACTAAAAAGATAATAACAAGTTGACGAAGGGACATACATGGTATTATGCAGTCGATAGGTACCTACATCTATACATATAATAAAATTGTAACTAAGCCGAATGTGTACATTAAATATTTTTCGGGAAAATGTTATTGAAATAGACATTATTATCGATACAGTGGCCGAATCTATAGTTTGTAGAATTTTTGTCTGTCTGTCTGTCTGTCTGTCTGTCTGTTACCGCATCACAGAAAAACCACTGGAGGGATTTTGATGAAATTTGGTATGGTGATAGCTGGCTATCCGGGTCTACATATAAGATACTTTGTACCGCGGGAAAATATCTCATTTCTGAGAAAAAATACAAAAACTGCAATGTAAGAGTATACTAATATGTAAAACCTAAGAATTTGGTTTTTGGTCATCTGAACGCGGGCGGAGCCGCGGGCAATGCTAGTCTTTTATAATAGCTGCGTATATGTATGTTTCCGACTGCATACCCCTTCGCCATGTTCTCCTTTTTTTAGTTCGCTTTTAATGCAGTCGAGTATTCTATTTTTATAAATTAATTTTTACAGCCTTTTAGTATTGGTTAGTTAGACATTTTTAGTTTTATTTAACAACTAGCATTACCCGCGGCTCCGCCCGCGTTCATATAACCAAAACCAAATTCTTAGGTTTTATATATTAGTATACTCGTATTAGTATATTAGTTGATCCGGAGAACCAGCTATTACCATACTAAATTTCTTCAAAATCCCTCCAGTGATTTTTCTGTGATGCGGTCATAGACAGACAGACAGACAAAAATTCTTAAAACTATAGGTTCGGCCTCTGTTAGCGATAATTATGTGTATTTCAATAAAATTTTCCAAAAAATATTTAAGGCACAGATACTGCTTCATTAAATTTTAATATATCTATAGGTGTAATTAATTTATAATGCCAAAAGGATTGTTTTTTCGATAATTTAAACACGGACAGGGCCGCGGGTAATTTAGTAGTAATATACAGATTTGACTTAGTTAGAATTTTATTATATGTATAGATTTGTCATCCTAATTTAGTTTTATACATTTAAGTTGTGTATATTTTTATAATCGAACGCGATTTAGAGGATAATTAAGAGGCTAAAAACCCGCATTTTAATATCCTACTCATTTTAATATCCTATTCAGATGATTTTTTAAGACACACAAATTGGCGCCTTAGAACCGCCATTTTAATTTTAATGACACCTTTATAGCCTATGACACTCGCGTTATCAAGACAAGTGGAATGATGTATGAATCATCGAAATCGATTAAACCGTTTAGTGACTACGAGGGAACATAGGATCCCTCTTCTGGGATTCACCGCAGTTGGGTAAAAGTATACAAAAGAGTTCTATACTGTGATCGACCGCAACGATGGTTTTAATCAACTACGCGAGAGATATTATAGCGCATGAATGTGTGCTAAGACACAAATCTGTCACTTTCATAGTTTTTTAACAAGAAACTCAAAATATGAAATCAAATTATAAATATATGAAATCAAATTAAGCATATTCTCATTTAGAGTTTAATATACTAGCAACTAGACAGTAAAGAGGTAGTTAAACCAGCAATGTAGAAGCAAAACTTTAGATTATTTAGACAGGCATCTACTGTGTTGTTTATTTTATACTAATGAATAAATATAATACAACATTTCTCGACAACTCGATAGTAGTAAGAGAAGAGCAACATTTCTAGAAAATCGCTTTACTTAATTGACGGGCCCGCTCTCGGATTTGTTCATGCCTTATCGATTCACATTGATATACAGTAAGTGAAACCTATATATAGTATCTTCATAATAAAATGTACTTGGTTTCTTTAGATGGTTATAAATATTTTTTAACATGCTTTCATTAAGTACTAACGCTTGAATGGGATACAAGTACCATTAATCAAATCTTGCTAGTAGATTTTTATGTAGTTATAATAGTCAGATCGACTTGAAATTTTATATGGGAAAGTCAAAATTGCAATACATTAATGTGACTCAATTGAGTTGATCTGATCTGATGATATCATCAGATTAGGTCAGTTTGCATTAGATGGCCAGTTTTATGAGAAAGATTATAGGCTTTAAATCATATACAAATATATATTCTATCTATTCTATGCTAACCGATAAAACGTACCCAGGAACGAACCCGAGCGAAGCGAGAGTGAGTCGCTAGTTTTATGTAATGGCTTAAGATAAAATGATTGTCCTACTAATAATATCGAGGTACGTTAGACATTTAAAGCGTGGCGACTGCTGTTAGCTTGGAAGTACATATCTGATAAAACTACTTTGGACTATCTGATCAAAACTCGGACTATTGAAGCTTTATTGAAATAGGAAAACACCTGGCTTGATCGGTGACCGATTTCTTTATTTATGTGGTGAAAGGCATGGTTATACCTAGCATTTTTATTAATATTTTTCAATGATCAAGAAGAGTTTATACTAAAATAAATACAATTAATTTGTTAATATAAATTATTGATTTTGTGTTCTTATTTTTATGGAAGAAAGTATGATATTTAGATACCTACCTACTAGAAAAAAAATAAAAATTAATACACTATTAAACAAAAACAGATACATGTTGTATAAAACCACAGATCATAATATTATCATAATACTAATAAAACTAAAATAATCTACGATTAAATGATAGAACTGGTTACTCGTCTATGAAGTCTAAGTTAGTGAACATCTAAATAAAAACATTGGATGGTTATATAAAAAAAGAAACTATTTTTTAATAAAAATTCCAATAAGTTTGATCTAGGCAAAAATGTTAATAACACGAGTGTGCGACCCAATAATACCGTAATGGCGTGAGTCATTATTTATTTCCCGAGAACTATCACTCTGACGTAGATATGTTGATGTATTGCCAGAGATGATAAGAGAACTTGCGGTTTTGAGCAATTCTCTATAACAAACGACTTACTTATTGTTCTTAGAACAGACTTTATTCGGTATATGAGGAAACCTGCCAAATGGGGATCAGCGAAAGTATGAAGTAATATGCCAGAGTAGTATCAAATGGATAAAATATGTATTAAAATAGCGATTTGACCTGGTTTCTTTCTGGTATAAATTGAGATATGCACCTAAATTAGTAACATACCTAAACACCCATGACTGGAGAACAAATATTCATGCTCATCACACAAATGAATGCCCCCAGCGGAACTTGAACCCGCGACCGTTGTACTTCTTGTAAGTCTTGTGTTCAGACTAATAAATCTTAAATTATTAACTTATACCAAGGGTGCGTCATCTATTGTATATTCATGGTATAAATATATATTCATGGTCAAAAACCTTTCCAGGCCCGCGTAGAGCCATTTAATAAAAAGTTTTAAAAAATAAAAGAGTATTAAAAATTTATATAATTAAGTAATATAAATATAGTAATAATACTTGTATAGTTTAAGCGACGCTTCATGTAAAGACGCTTTGTTAAACAGTATGACGTAGGAAATGTATAATAAGATAGCTTTCTAAGTTCTTAGAAATATAGGAATTGTAGAAAGAGCTTTCAAGTTTACTCTTTGAAATGACGCTGAGGAGAGTTTGCATAATGATATAGAGCCCTTTTACATTATAGCATTGAGACAGGTTCTTTTATTGCAAGCTTTTATTAAAGCTTGATTCGAATGTTTTTTTTTTCCAATTCAAGATTTGTAATTCATTTTTAACGGACTCGCTGGAACGTTGCGCCGGCCCAGGGTTAATGAGAGGAG